TTACTATAACAGAATGAGAATAAAGTACCAGTGATATGTTTAGATGTATTTTGTTGTTGTTGTTTGCATAATTTTAACAAATAACATCTCACTGAAGAAAATATCTAACCTGACAGCAGCCAGATCTCCATGTAGCCCCGCCCCGTGTCGAGTCTACACATTTCTCCTAAGTATGGAAAACTCCAAATCTCGCAAGAATTCATCTTGTAGCGCAACGTTAGAAAAATCCACATTTTTTACACATTTAAGTCTTACATAAATTTAAGACTTAATAACAGGAACAAACTGGTTGTTTTTGCAAAAATACCAACAAATCTCTAATAGTAGACATTTACAGAAGAGGAAAAAATATTTGACTTTATTCTCAGAAAAAAGTAAGACTCTTGATTTTAGTCCCAGAGTTCTCATATTAATCTCGGAAGAAAGACATAGTTTTCGGTAATCCTAATCCTCTTCCAATGAATTGCTCAAATATTGCGTATTGTGTCTTTCCAAAAGGTCCTGTAACAGTTGCAGCTCTAAACTAGTTTAATTTAGGTTGACTGAGGGGAAAATGCCTCATTGGATTGTAAAGTTTGCAGAACCCTGGTCTAACCTAATCCCATTAGCCTATCCAAGCACGCCTGCACAGAAAGCAGGCTTTGTAGGTTATGAAGAAGCTGCTATTATAGCAATAAGCTCCTGACACTGACATTTGTACAAAATTGTTAAGATAAAAATAACCACATTATAGAAAATTTAAGAATGAAACTCATGGCATCGTGAACCACTTCTTTGCGGACGATGTGCAGATATATGTCCCACTATATTCTCTGTGGCCATTGTCTGACAAATTACTGAATTGTCTAAAAGATGTTAAAAACTGGCTACAATTGAATCTTCTCACTTTAAATGACAAAAATACGGAAATAGTTGTTTTTGGGGACCCTGGGCTGTTGCACGGGATAGACAGTGTATTTGGCCCATTAGAATCCTTTTGTGTGTCTCAGGCAAGAAATCTGGGTTTTTTCATTGACGGCCATTTTAAACTTGATAAACAGATAAGTTCTGTGGTCCAGAGCGTGTTCTTAGTAAAGTCAAGCCCTATTTACCACTCAAAGACTTGGAAAAGGTTATACACCTGCTAGTCACGTCGAGACTCGACTACTGCAGCTCTCTTTATCGTGGACTGGAGCAGTCGTCACTTCACCGCTTGCAGGTGGCTCAGAATGCGGCAGCCCGCTTGCTGACAGGTAGGAGGCGCAGGGATCACATAACACCGGTCTTACAAGCTCTTCACTGGCTCCCGATCACTTACAGGATTCAATTTAAAATGCTACTGATCTGTTTTAAGGCACAACACAATTTGGCCCCTCCTTATCTGTCGGAACTTTTAAACGCTCGTGTCCCCAAACGAAACCTCCGATCATCCTCTCCACATCTTTTATCGGTTCCCAAGTCTAGGTTGAAGTCCAGAGGCGACAGAGCCTTTTCTGTGGCCGCTCCCAAGCTCTGGTCAGATTAGGTCTGCTGACAGTCTTTCTGCGTTTGTCTCTTTTAAAAATCTACCTTTTTACCCTCGCTTTTAACTGATTTTATAGTTAAGTAATTTTAGGGTCTACTGGAAGGCTCTCAGTGTTTTATCATTTTATTTTAACTGCTTGTCTGTGTGCAGCACCTTGTGCAGTCTCTGATTGTTGGAAATGTGCTTTATAAATAAACTTGACATTGACATAAAAAACAGCTGGCAATCTTTTTCTACCTGCCCCTCAGATGTTGATGAGAATTACTGATTAAAATGGCCACATTTGAAGATAATAGAAGATAAATTTCAGTTTCAGCCGATTCCTAACGCAAAGATCCCGACTCCGGAGGGAAATTACAGACATCTTACATAAATGTGCAACATAAAAGTGTCCTTTAAGCAAAGAGGTGAGTTAGTTGGATCCTACAGACGACTAAATCCAAAATAAACACCATTATTTCTGCTAACTGCGTTTGCATTCATTTGTGTTCTTCGTGAAAATCTGAGGAATTAACCTTCCATTAAAAAGGTCTAAAATGCTCTCAATCAGGGATGCCCAATCCTGCCAGCATGCTTTAGTTTTAACCCCGCTTCAGCACGTCTGGCTTTTGCAGAGCTTGATGAGCTGCTGCACAGGTGATTCAGGCCCTGTCCACACGTAGCCGGGGATCTGCCAAAACGTAGATATTTTTCTACGTTTTGGCCTGTCGTCCACACGAAAACTGAGTTTTTTCACACGAAAACGGATCTTTTAAAAAACTCCGGCCAAAGTGAAGATCTGCGTTTTCTCCGTTTTGGGTGTCTGCGTGTGGACAGACAAAACCGGAGTTTTAAGGTCCGCAACGTCACTTTCCGCGACAAAAAATGCTGACATCACGTGTGCGACCTGTGTTTACACTAGCCGACAGCATGGATGCCCTCAGAGCTGCGCTCTGTCACTACCCGATCCATCAATGGTCCGAGCGCTTTCTGCTTGTTTGTTTTTGCAAGCGGAATTCCTGCTCCTTGCGGAAGACCACAGACGAAGGACGAGGTTAAGAACGGGGGAAGTACTGCCGCCTACAGGTCTGGCATGTCCTTAACAACGTATTTATCCGGGTACGTGTGGACAGTTTGTTTTTAAAACGAGGTGGTGTGGATGCAAGTTTTTGGAGGGGCGGATATTCGATTTTAAAAAACCCCGGCTACATGTGGACTAGGCCTCAGTCACTGAATCACCTGTGTTGTGGGCCATTCCCATCTGTACCGGGTCGGCCCGGGCCGGGTAGCCCCAGCCTGGCCCGGTTGATTCCACGCATCCTTGCCTTAAGCCCATGTGGGCTGATTCTACCCACCAATCAGAGGCTTGCTCTAATGGAAGGTGTGGATTTGCTGTCAGCAGTGGGCGTGTTGGCCCTGGTCGGCCTGAAGCAGACCCCCTCGAGAAGAGGGCTGAGAATGAGCCTTGGTAGGCCCGGAAAAATACCAGGCCACCCAGATATGTAAACAACCCACGCTATCCGGCCCGGGCCGACCCGGTACAGATGGGAATGGCCCATTGGAGTAGAGAAAGCACTAAAACGTGCTGGACACCGGCCCTGCGGGACCAGCACTGGGCACCCCTGCTCTAAAAGATGCCAAGTTTAGCCTATCAGAGTGTCCGTGTTACTCTAAATTGTCTTTATTTGCTTAAACCCGTGTAAATAACAACAAAACATTTTGTCGGGAGGGACCGGTGGCGCCTGTGCTCGGCAGCCTCGCCTCTGTCAGCGCGCCCCAGGGCAGCTGTGGCTACATCGTAGCTCACCACCATCAGTGTGTGTGAATGGATGAATGATACACTGTAGTGTAAAGCGCTTTAGAGTCCTTACTCTGAGAGGCGCTATACAAGTGCGGATCATTAAAACATTTTGTTTTCTCAGGTGGAAAATGTGTTTATCTATCAGCTAAGAGCCAATAAAAGTTTCAACGAGATTTACATTGTTCCGAATGAAAGGTGTTCAGATAACATCAGCCCACACATGGAATAACCACCACCGAGTGGGTCAGATGGTGTTGCTCCTCCTTTGTATCACCGAGGGATGAAAATGGATTAAAAAAAATCTCTTGTTACCTGGCAACGCATCATGACAACGGGGAGAGAGATGGAGACATTCAGGGTTTGAGTGAAGGAGCTGTGGGAGGATTCAGGACTATTTTAGAGGTTCGGGTCAAACACCAGTTTTATTTTTTCCATCCGTTTCCTCCTCTGCGATCGGAGTCGTTCAGAATATGAGGCGACTTTTCTCGGGTGGACATCAGGATCAGAAACAGCAGAAGATGTGGGAGTGACAGCTACAGCGAGGCTCACAAGTTGTAAAAACTGTCACTCACAACTAAACCACAGCGCGTTTGTGCATGGGTGAATATTACGAATGCACAAAATGAAAACTTTATGTTCACATTTTCTTAGATCAATGGGTTTTTTGTAGCTGCCGCAGGGATCAAACCGATTTAAACTACAGATGAAAATCCAATAGATGGTCAATTTTGAAATAAAACAAATGTGTCTGCAGCAGGTTTTGTAGAAGGGAACAGAACAAATGTGCCAAAATTAGAGCTTTCATAATTCCTATATAAGCTTACATGAGTGGCATTCAGTGATCTCACATTCAAGTCCAACAGATTAACCTGCTTGATTGTTTTCTATTGATATTTCAGCTGCATGATAATAAAATTAAGTGTTTTTAAACATAAAACCTCCACACAAAAAAATACTTTTAGGCTTTTTGAAGCTTGAGTTTTAGAAACCATCTACAAAAATAAATTCTATGAAATTTCTCACTTCTGGTTTTACTTCATAAAGTTGGTAACATGTTATCAATTATATTTGATATGTCTCATTTTTAATTGGATTAAATTGACTGAATTTCCTTTATTTTTAGCTTATTTTCCTTCTAAGTCTAAGACATTGTTCATCTGGTGTTCGACTTTAAAACTACAATTTAATCAGCCCTGCACACAGAAACAAAAGCATGTGCACGTATGTAAAACAACGTTTTTGTATGTTCTGTATGATTCCACCAACTCTCTGTTTCCAGCTGATGCAGCAGCTTGGGACAGACAAGAAAACGCTTCGGCCCGCTGATATTTTGATTACACTAGTCTAATCAGAAAACTAACAGAAATAAACATTCATTCATACATTCATACAGTACAACAGGAATGGAACAGAATTTCTCTGCAAACATATGACGTGTCTTTCACTAACCACCACCACGTCTTTTCTGCTCAGAGACGTTTGCACATCTTTACAAACCTACGTTGTTTATTTTAAGAATATAAAGACAAAGAAGATTCTGCTCTGGGGTTGTGCTTGACCGAGGAGCAGTTAAGCGATGATGCTCGTAGCTAAAATTACTCCCTGCTTTGCATCATATCCTGCCTAAAAAGCATGTTTCTACAACAAAAATGTGTTTAATGTGTTTTTCACCTGAGACGCCTTGCAAAAATCAAGCAAGTGCTGTCGAGAGCCCACCTGGAGCGGGTACTGCATGCCTTTGTAATTTCTAGGCTTGATTACTGCAACTCTCTCCATGCAGGGTTGTGTCAGTCATCACTGCGTCGCCTACAGGTTGTGCAGAACAGCGCTGCCAGGTTCCTGACTGGGACCAGGAAACGGGACCACATCAGTCCAGTTCTGGCCTCCCTGCACTGGCTTCCGATTTCCTATCGCTCACAATTCAAAATACTCGTCTTTGTTTATCATTTCTTCCAGGGTGGTGCTCCCCCCTATCTAGCTACACTCCTGAACAGACATTCCCCATCACGCGCTCTGCGCTCCTCTGACCAAGGCCTGCTCGCTGTCCCTCGTTCTAGGTGTCGTACCCGTGGGGACCGGGCTTTCTCAGTCCTAGCACCGTCACTCTGGAACCAGTTGCCACCCTCCGTTAGGCTGTCCCCCTCTCTGCCAGTCTTTAAGAGTCACCTAAAAACACACCTCCTCCGCTTGGCGTTTCCAGAACATGTTTGATTTTGGCCCTCTTTTATGTTGATTTTATTTCCCTGTTTTCATTGGTTCACTCAATCCAATTGTGTTTCACACATTTGTCCTGTACCAGAATGTTTCATCTATCTTGTAATTTGTATTTTGTAATTTGAATTGCTTTTATTGTTGATTTATTCAATATATTTACCTACAACTGTACCATGTTCAGCGCTTTGGGCTTCCTGACAGGGTTGTGGAAGGCGCTTTATAAATAAAGCTTTGATTGATTGTTTATCGATGCATTTAGCTAATTTGTCTAATTAATTATAAGGATTGCTGGATTATAAAAACGCACGCATGCAAATACTCCTCCACTGTCATCACATTAATGCAAAGAGGCTGAGGATGGTGGGGGGAGAGGAAGCGCCCAGGGTCACCGGAGACCCGACCTCCCTGAAGATTCGTGTGGCAGCTGTTTCTCTCGTGAACAATAGTTGGAAGGGGGTTCACTAAATCGTAATTGGGCGACAGTTCGATCATCGATCGATTATAGTTCCGCGGGCAGCAGGGGAGGATGGAGAAGGATGCTGCTGCCGACCTGCTCCACATTAGCGTCTAAAAATGAAACGTTAGTGTGGATCAGCGCTCAGTCTGCGCATGCGCGGCTTCTCCCAGCGCATCGTGCGTCTATTCTAAGAAATGTCCAAACGCGGACATAAAAAGATGCATCTGAGAGACGGGATTATTGCTTGTATTTCTCCAGCAGTACATCTAACCAGATCAGAGGCGTGAGAGGTTTCCTACCTCCATGCTGTCTTCTGTTGGCCGTCAGATGCGGAGGCGCAGGTGGAGGGATGCAGAGAACCACAAACATTAATCTGTCAGCGGGTTGATCCTCCATGAGAACGGACTCGGTAAAACACACAGCAGCTCACCTGTTTTCACCGGAATCCGGCTTTTGTACCTGATGTTACTCGTCATGTTTGAACGCTTTTCCTCCTGCCTGGTCTCACTGAAGCGGCTCAGCCTCGCCTCCGAAGCCCGGACAGACAGCAGGAGGGCGGGTACAGCCGACAGGAGAAAACCCCTCCTCCTCCCAGACTCGACCAGTCACGCTGCAGCTCACAACCAGGAGATCCTTCAGCAACCTCACTGGCATCTCCTCCACATGCAAAAACACACACGCGCGCACACGCACACACACCAAATTAGAAAACATCCCAGGTGATTGGAGGGATTTAATGAAGAAATGCTTAGAAGAGAAACCATCTTTGTTCTCAAATTTTATTTCTGAAAAATAGAAAAGAACACTGACATGCATATGAAGATGGCAGTTTAAGAACAGACGTGATTTAAATTCATCTGCTGCTCACAGAAACACGGAGGGACGTTTTACGTAACGCAGTTAAACAAAAACAATATGTGATATTGAAATGTTGGGAAACTGCACGTGTAGTGTACAAACAGTGCACGGATGCCATCAGAGACTGCCAGGACTGACTAGTTTTCTGTGATTGGTGATGCCATTAAGGCTCAGGATAAATACAAACATGTGACATCATCATAAAGTCTACTACAGAACACAGAGGCGTTACATTTAACTGTTGGTGAGTAATTCATGTCAGCAGAATACAGAATAAAATGTAATCATCCCAAACACTTTACATGGGATTTTATTAAAACCAAACAGGCACCGGGAAGCTGCAGGTAGAAGGCGACCGACAGAAAACAGGAATAACATTTTTTTCTATTTTTAAGAAGAAGAAAAAAACATTTTAAAAACAATTAGCATTCGAAAGCAAAAAGAAACCGGCGCTTCTTAAAAGCTGCACTTTAACAAGAACCATAAATATTTTGTGAACAAGACCGCAATGATGACATCTATTAGTACCAATATCAACAGGTTCACTGGACACTAATATAAGCTAACAGGTAAATGTCAATAACAACAATATCAAACCATTTCCTGTTTATTATAGAAAAACAACATAGCAATGTTTCAGACAGCTGATGAATGGGTGTTTGAAGAGAGAAGAAGTGGTGATGAGCAGATGAAGACGACGTCATCTGAGACGCTGGAGTTTGACGACCACATGCATCGTTGTTTCCTCTCAGCTCAAACTCTGTCACTCATCAGATTTCATCTTCATCTGAGCCTGCATCTGAGCAATCATCTCCTGCATGCGTCTCAGCTGCAGAGGGAAGAAAGATGTTATTGTGCTACTTTTACAAAGTTCCACTAAAACTCAATGATCATTCAAAAGTAAATCACACAAAATATTGGATTTGAACACTTTTATCATTTTTATATTCTCCGATTGTCTCCCCCAAAACACAAATCCCAACAAGACAAGATTAATGTCTAGCGCCATCTTGTGGCCGGGAGTGTATCATGTAGGGTGTTTTTTCCTCTTTAGTTATGGGTGAAAAGGAAAATGGTTATTTGTGACTTAAACAATAACACTGAAGGTATCAGCTGTATGAGATAGCAATCTTTTTCTGTTTTTCTTGATGTTATAAAAGTAGCTGTAAATCAACAAATTATTTTAGGTAAGAAAAACTACTTCAGGCTAGGGTTGTCACAATACTAAAATTTCAAACTCGATTCGATACTTGAAAAAAAACTCGATACTCGATTTCGATACTATTTAAAAACACCCATTTATCGAACAAGTTTATTCAAAAAATAGCATTCCTCAATTTATATTGCAAAAATTAAATGTTAAGAATTAAGTGTGTAAAGTGCTTAAACCTTTCAAGTATCAGCATTTTTTAAAACGTGCATTCAAAAACTGGTGAAAGTTAACACTTTAAATCATGAATTGTCTCACTATATATACACTATTTGCAGAGTGATGTTTTGCTGCTTAAACTCTGTTTAAGGTGCATTTTTGTCATAAGATGTAATGCCATATGTTTTGTTTTGTACTTTTGAACAATTCTGTTGGTCAATAAAGGGAGAAAACAAACTTCTCCACAGTAGGACAAAGGTACATCTACCGGTAATCTTGATAAAAACAGATGGGCGCACGGCAGTGACGTCATTAAAAGCGCCGGTTAGATTAGCCGCAGCTAGTCTGTTCACGCCTAGAAATCCCAGACCAGACCCGCTCCAAACGAACAGGGGAATCACGTTAATGATTCCTAACAAAACCTTTCGACATGAAGATGTTTTGGTGCAGATAACGTCTTATTTCGAGGATGCACCATGGCTGCCCGTCCGCACCTGTTATATGGATATACACTGATGGCGATTCGCCGATGGGTCTAAATACCCCGGGGAATCAAAGTAGCACCAAAGTTGTCAGCGTGAGTAAACAAACGTACTGCATGCTAGAAATTAAGTCCGGGTTGCAATAAACGGGAGTTTCCTTTAAGCACATAAGCATGAATATACAACTACGTGTCGGACTTGGTATGCTAACTAAGTTGGGCTGTGAAGCGCCTCCCAAATTCGCTGTTTATGTTTTTGTTTATTTATTTGGCAGACAAAACTTGGATCGGAGACAACTCGCGTGGGAAACTGCAATGTAGCCATGCGGCGTCTTCTTCTTCTGTTTGTCTGGGAGGCGGAGGCTGCTTTACGGCATCTGGCTGTCGTGCGTGTCGGTGTACTTGAAGAAGGCTGTGTATAATAGTCCATAATATCGATACCACAGGGATGGAATATCTAATTTAGATACCACTTTTAGTATCGATTTATATCTAGGTATCGATTTTTTTGACAACACTACTTCAGGCTTTTACGAAAGACCAGCTCAGTGGCCTAGTGGTAGAGTGTTCACCCCTGGGACCGGGATTCAAAACCAAATAGGTCAAAAGAAATACTTTAAAATGGGACCCGATGCCTCCCTGCTCGACACGCAGCTTTAAGGGGTTGGATTAGAGGGTTAAACCACCAAATAGTCCCCGAGCGAGGCCACAGCTGCAGCTCACCCCACCCCACGGGGACGGATTTATGCAGAGATGAATCAGCCGCCGACTTCCGTCTAACTTGGACAAAACTTGCTTTTTATTGCACTTGAAGCTGCGATGGTTAAGATTTTATAACAAGCCACCCCTAAAGGTGTCTGTCTCCACCAGTCCCTGTGCAGTCTCTGATGATCTGAGCTTCAGCTCTAACAGAGTCGCTCACGGAGCGCTGCGACGCTCCAGTTTGCCGTCTCAGCTGACTTTGTTCAAAAAGCAAAACTTACTACCCGTGTTTACTTTCATTTCTATTTATTTGCCGGCCGGAGCTTGGCATTAACTCCCTACGTCATCAGGACACCTCCTTCAGTTGCACCATGGTGCAATAGCCGTTTATAAGACAGACCATTACCGCAATATTACTACCAAGCAAGCAGGACGAATGCTGCTAAATCTGCACAACGCCATGCAGACATGGCGCGTTTATAAGACACACCGTTGCGGTAATATTACGCTGATTTGCCGGCATGGTGTGGCTTGTAAAAAGGGCAAGAGTGTGATGACTATGGGACTTTAACTTGACAGCACTCACTAGTTTAAATTGTTAAAGGGACTTTACGGACTTCGCGATTGCCCCCTCAGGCCAAAAGCGTAACGGCAGCTTCAATAGTAGGCTCGTGCATGAGGCGTGCATGATGTACGTGCACACTCCTTTACGAAAATGACAGCTGAGACAGTTCCGTGTGTGTGTGTGTGTGTGTGTGTGTGTGTGTGTGTGTGTGTGTGTGTCGGAGGACAGGAGACCATGCAGCTAATTAATTAAATAATGTGGTTCTGTAGCTTTCTCTTCAGCACAGCCGACAAAGGTTTATGATGGGTCAGTCCTCCTGCATGCTCAGATCATTCCCTTCCCTTGCTTGAAAAATTGTTCCAAAATGAAAGTTGAACCCACATCTTTTTTATCTGTGAATTCAATGCCGTTCGGCGAGTCTCAAATAAAAATTTGGGCATCTTACTGTAAAAAAATATACCATTAATGTAAAAAAGAATCTCTAAATAAACTATGTTCACATCCAGAATCGAACCCAGGTCTTCTGCACGAGAGTCAGACATCTTACAAGGTGAGCTACGCTCTAGTAACATTCACAGTATCTGTAACATTTATATCCTTGATGACAGCTGAAACAACATCAAACCAAAGAACGGTTCGGAGTGAAAATGGCTATTTTGTTGCTAATTAGCAGGAAATATCTAGAAGAAAGTTCTACAGAAAGTAGCTAAGGGTCCTCAGAAATGTAGCTAGCTTTGTCACTAGGCGTTAGGAACAGCGACAAAGTGGCACTGCCTCTCTCTCTGCTGCTAAAGCTACGGATAGCAAATGCTACGGGCGATGCCTGAGCGTGAACGCGCATGAAGCAGCCTGCTCGACCCGAGCATCTCTCTTTTTCTGTGATTTTACAGAAAAACAGGCAATCACAGTAAAAATGCCAGGGCTCATTCTACAGGACCAGGGCATTGCAGGAGAATGTATGAAGAAGACATTTATTATTTCTATACATGTTTTGGCTGTCACACTTCCTTAGAGTCCCTTTAAGAACGTAGAATTCCTTAGAAAGTTTCTGCTTGGCAGTTTGTTTGACTTTTAAGTACAGCAGGATGAAAAACTTAACAGCTTAACAATAAAACGAATCACTGCATCTTAAACCCAAATTTGGTAAAAAAAAAAATCGAAGCCTTTTCTCAGCCAGTTTTGGTAAATAAATGAAGGGAAATAACCTACTTATATCATTAGTGTCACTCTGCTACTGAAACTACAGACAATTATAAAGAAAGATGAGAAAACTTAAAACTACCGATTTCCAGTTGTTAACATGAATATCAACATTACTAAGCTCCGTGTTATGTCTGGTCAAAGCCTCTCCAGAGGAGCCGTGTGTTGCAGACTTCTGACCTTAGAGAGGTTAAATCATCTGCTTCATTGGGAAGTACTTCCTCTGCAGAATACTGTTCAACACGTATTAATACGAGCACACGGCTCTTTCCAGGAATCAAATCACATATTAGCTCCTTTCTAGGAATTCTTTCCGAAGACTAGGATGTCATTCTGATTGTAGGGAGTGTTTCTTCCCACTGAAACTGATACAACACGTTCTGTTCTACTGAGGTCATTCCCACCATAAACCTTCACCAGGACATCCAGGCAGGAAGTGATGGCATATCCTGCCAGGGCACATTGTTTACAAACAGTCCTAATGGAGCCTTGCCTGCTCTTTAGGGTGCAGAGCAGTGGCAGTACAAACAGGCCAATCAGCAGCCATCAGGAAACAGGTTATAATCTGATAGCATGCAGGCTCCATGGCCCGCAAGGTAAACAGTGCTTATAGAAATCACGTGACTTTTTTCCCCACAGTTGTAAAAATAAGGGAACATAAATGTTTGGTTTTCATCAGCCTGCAGTTTGAAGCTGTGAATACGCCGACTGACTCAATTACGACACATTTCCTGCTGAAGGAGCACAGAAAACAACTTTGTTGTTTCGTTTTTACCTCCAGCTCCTTCTGCAGCAGAATCTGGTCTTTGTCCAACACCTCCTCGTCCGTGGATCTGCAGGGGAGACAAAAATATTAGTTATATTTTGTTAAAATAAGTAATATCAGGTCAAACTGAGCAACCTCTCACCTTCCCGCCTTCTTCAGCCTCTCAGATCGGAAGTTCTCATAATGTAGATCCTGAGTTACTTCCTGGAGGTCTTGCATGTGTGTCCTGAAATAACCATTCATGTAATCAAACACTTCGACACTGGAGGGCAGCAAAGCTCTGCTTTACTCAGTTCTCAGACTTCCTTCATGAAAATCCTGCTAGTTATGAGGTGTAGTTATCAAGAGACTCACACAAGCATGGTGCGTAGTTTGAGGAAGTCATTGTGCTCTGGATTTTCCACCTCCACCACTCCCCATGGGTACAGACGACCTCGGATCTTCTTCCCTTTCACTTCAATCAGCTGGTTGGAGCCAATCACAGCAAAGGGGACGCTCGCCTAAACAAAAAGTTAGTTTTAAAATGTAAAACAGGAAAAGATATGAACGCTCTACTAGCAGTTAGGGATGCACCGATAAGATACTGGTATTGGTATCGGTGCCGATACAGATACCGATACCTGTATCGGTATCGGTAAAAGTTACCAGATACCAGTAACTGATACCAATGCAGTTGCTTGAAAGTGACTTCACTGTAACCCCCAAATTCCACTACCTCTGCTCCGCTGCGCTCCGCTCCGACACGAACGCCGGAGCAAAATCGGTCCCGTTGTAGTCAATCAGAGCAATTCCACTACTGCGGCCGTGCTCCGGCAGAGCGGGGCCGTGCGCCGCCCTCTGTTCCGGCGTCCGGCGAAAATAGAATCGATCCTATTTTCGCCGGACGCCGGAGCACCTCCGCAGTAAATGGACAGAAATCACAACGGCCCAACAGGAAAAGGAGCAAGCACAACTTCCGTTTTTCACATTACATCGATAAACAAAAGGCGTTTTTTGTTTCATATGCACAGGTTTAACAACTTTTAACAACTATCAATGGCGGCTGAACTTTAAATGCACAAAAGTAAGCCATAAATACAGTTTCTACTATCAAAGTAGTCACACTTTGTTGATCCAAACACTGCTGATCTCTCAACACAAATGATGGGCAGATTAAACAGTTCATGCCGATGCTTCTCCCACACAACGCGTGTTTGGATCTAACTTCCGCGTTTATTGCTCGGACTGTATCGCAAGATCTCGAAAATCCCGCGCATGCTTGTTTGCCCCCCTCAGGTCTCCGCACCGGAGCGGAGCCGTTGTAGAGCGGGTACCAGTAAAAATTGAGTTCGGAAGCGAGCGGCTGCGGAAGGCGGGGGCGGACCGGAGGTAGTGGAATTTGGGGGTTACTCGTCATTTCTGTTCACCTAAAATTTTAGTTTTGTGATCACTTATATTACTTATATCTACCTCACAGTCTTTTCCTATTGAAAACAGAAGAAAATAAAACCTGTATTCCATTTCATTGCATTTTTTTGTGTGGTAGAAGTATCGGCATCGGTAATCGGTATCGGCGAGTACTCAGATCCAAGTATCAGTTTGGACAAAAGTGGTATCGTTGCATCCCTACTAGCGATCAGATGATTGCTGTCGTCTCACCTTCAGGACTCTGGTCTGCTCCTTAAACTCCTCGTCTTCATCAGAGTCGGCGTCAGGCAGCTGATATATCTTGATCCCATGCTCAGCGATCTCGTCCAGAATCTAATGGTTTAAAACACACCGAGGATGTGGTTTGGTGACTTCTGCTGTCATGCTTCATGAAAATAAAAAAAAACAACTGAGCATCTCAACTCAACTCAACTTTATTTATAAATCGCGCCTTACAGGCAAGAAGATGACACCAAGGCGCTACACTGATCAAATAAAAACATAAAACACTAAATCCAGAAAATAAAACATTGCATCACACAATACAGATAAAACTACAGTGAGTAAAATCGCTATAAGTAAAACAATAAAACTAGTTAGAAAGGTTAAAAGACAGGTCATAAAAATATGTTTTTAGCCTTGCCTTAAAAACCGCAACAGAGGTGGAGGCCCTTATGCTCAGAGGAAGCTTATTCCAAAGCTTAGGACCTGCCACAGCAAAAGCCCAATCACCACGCGTCTTTAGGCGCGTTCTTGGGACCGAGAGGAGCATGAAGTTCTCCGAGCGGAGTGACCGTGAAGGGGTGTAAGGTTGAAGTAGTGACACCAAGTAAGGAGGGGCTAAACCATTTAACGTTTGAAAAACTAGTAAAAGTATTTTAAAATGAATCCTAACATCAACGGGCAGCCAGTGAAGCGCAGCCAGCATCAAAACCAATCTTCTCGGCTCAGAGCACCCAAACAAGAAAGCAAAACCAGAACCGGGTCAACTAGTGCAATGGAAGGAATGTTCCATTTGAGAGATGATTTTCATGTTCTGTTTAGTGTCTGGTTGTCACGAACTCCTCCTCCTGACCACCCCCTACGGAGCCAACTGGCGGGCTACTACACTTCCCAGCATTCCCATCACCAGCGTGGCTCGTCGACGTCATCACGCCGACTCTATTTACGGAAGTGCCGCCGCTCATTCATCACTCGGTCATCGTTCATACCAGGCATCGACCCGAGTTCTCAGGCTTACCAGCCCTCAAACCAGGATAGGGATCTTTCCACGCCGTCTACCACCAGTAAGTCTGCTTCCTCGTTTATTCGGAACTGCTGCTCAGTCTCGGCTCTTTCCGAGCGCTGCGCCGCCGTTCCCAGATCAAAGCCGCATGCTCTGTTTAACCCAACGCTAGCCACTCCGCGTCTGGGTCACGCTGTTCCGCTACAAGCAACCTCCGCTACACCTCAGCTCAGCCAATCGAACCCGACACTGGTTCTGTTCTTGCTGGGAAACTTTAAGGTGATGAACATGTCATCTGTGAACGCAGCCTGTCCTATCAGCTGGCAGAGCCACCTGACGGGTTGTTGCCTTGGCAACGAGTGTGTGTGTGTGTGTGGGTGGGTGGGTGGAGCTGTCCGAGTATACATCGAGTGAGGAGGTTCAGGGCGGATTCTGGAATTAGACCTTTTGTTAATTGGGTTTTCCCAGACGGCTGACGGCACTGAGCTGCTAAAAACTGACAAAATTTTTTTACAATAAAAAAAATCTACATTATCTTAGCTAGCATTAAAAATTTAAAGAAGAAGAAGAAGAAAATATAATTTCTATAGCGCCTCTCAAGATAAAAATCACGAGGCGCTTCACAAAAACAAAATGTAAAAATATAAAAAAGCATTTAGAAAATGTTTAAAAATATATTTAAAATGAGCAAAAAGAGACAATTGTGATAAAAAAAATGTTAAGAAAGAGAGAGAGTGAACAGGAAAGAGGGAAATCAGTGGATCCTGAGGAAGGAGGAATAGGTGGGGAGAGCAGAATAAAGAGAGAGAGGTGAAGAAGGTCGTACAAAAGCATGAACAGGTGAGTCTGCAGCTGCTTTTTAAAGGAGACCACTGAGTCCACTTATACAGTTATCTAGATATGTTGCATTAAGAATTATGGCAGAAAAGGTGCCAACAACAAGCTGAGTACATAAAACTGAACCCTCAGGAACAAACATTGCATGTTCTAGTATTCTAGAGGATCGGCTTAGGAGGGAAAGCTGGAGAAACGGGGTTAGACCTTTGAATCGAGTCTATTCAAAAAGCAGCTGCAACAGTAAGAATAACAGCTCCTCCTCCGTATTCAATCAAAAACTGATTATACGAGAAGGAAAAACAACAAACTGCGTTTTCACTTTTTACTTTTATTTATGCTCTTTTGTGATTCAGAACAAATTTTCCTCCTAAGTAGTACTTTGACAGTAATCTGTGTTTTTATATTTTGGATTTAAAAATGGCGCTCCTTCCACCCACAATCATAAAACACGGGAATGTTGTAACACCGAGGTTTCAGTAAGTACTGCTGTTGCACAAACACGTTTAATTAAAGTCCTCCAGTAGAGGAAAAGGGGGGGAAAGTAGAAGAGTAGACAGGTGAAAAAATAAAGCCTCCATGAACATTAAAGGCCTGAAAGAGTCGGAAACAAAAGTTCTTCCTCTGGTTTTTTTTCTCCGACCGGTGAAGAAACAAATTAAAACAAAGGAGCTTTCTTCCCCACGAGCTCAGCGACAGACGTCAGTATTTATTATTCTAAACATCAAAGCTGCATTTTTCTTTTGTTTTTCAAAGAGCAGATTTTTATATTCACAATGATTTTTTTTTTTATAACGGAGCCAAAAAACGCCAAGTGTTGTTCTAAGCATCTTTCATGTTCTGTTAAAGAAAAGGACAGCAGTGAGTCAGCCAGGAGTCTGGGAAGTGAGCAGCAAGGAGCAGCTCCCGTTTGTTATAGGAGTGAGTCGTTTTCCCAGTGTGTGTGTGTGTGTGTGTGTGTGTGTGTGTGTGTGTGTGTGTGTGTGTACGGGGTGGGTTGGGTATTGTTGTGGGGCGGATCTAAAAACAAACAGAACTCAGAGGAGAGCGTGACACCGGAGCAGAGCCTCGCTTTCCCCCCCGAAGCACTCAAACACAAACGATGTACAGAAGCCTCCGACGAGGCGGAGATAAACAGAACTCTGGTGGGGCAGAGCATGAAGTTTGGGAAACTGTACACTTGGAGGGAAAATAAACACACGTAGCACAATGACAGGAACAAACGAGGCAAAGAACAAATCCAGTCACAGAGAAGGAAGCACGTCAAATTCAGATAAAGATGGGAAAATTAACTGGAAGCCATCAAGAAACCTAAAAAGTGACATTTGATGAAAAACAAACTAAACCTAAACATCTTGAATCTTCATCGGGTGATTACACAAACAAGCCTGTTGTCTGTCATCATCTGTTTGCAGACCCTTCTAACCCAAAATGGCTGTTTACCTGTTGGATTCTGTTCCGTAACGTGTTCTTAGCGCCGTCTGACACCTGCAATCAAGTCCTCTGATGGATCATGAGATTCCCAAATCACCGGCTGCTCCTAATCCCTGCTGTCTCCTGCTGATTTACTGTACACAACGTAGACCTTAATTCCTAATGTTACACCAGACTCTCCACAAACCAGCTGTATATTTTATTTGGCACAAGTACGCTGGCGGTGGCAGCCATTGTGATTTTATGACCACAACACTTCGCTCACACACCCCTATCTGTGCTGTTATGGTTGGCAGAGCAGATCTGATCAAATTTTCCACACACGATAATTAGTAGAAACCAAAAACTTGTTGCTTCAGGCTCACATCACAGATTTGGAAGCTTTGTTGGCTGTTTTGTTTCATGGCGAGCAGATGTGTTGAAGTTCTCGGGTCTGGGCTAATGCCTACCAGTTAAAAAATGAATCAGGAATTGGATAAATGATGGATGAATCACATCCTCCATGTGAGGCAAAGTCAGTCAGGTCTAGGAATAGCCGTGTTTGAAACACCTGGTGGTGATGTGCGGCCCAAATTTAGCAAAGGCGCAGGTCTTAACATTGGCGTGTTTACACACAGGGATGAGGTGGGAGACGTGGCTAAGCAGTTTTCTGCCACCGCACAGAAGGTCGACCCGAAAACCGCCATTGTGATGAAACGAGGAGCAAACCCATCATCACAGGGATCAGGATCTTTACCACGTCAACCCGCCGTGGGAACCATGTTTTCATGATTGAATTATTTTCACAAGCAAAGCCACAAAAATAAGAATGACTGGAACACCTGCTAAACAGTTTGTCATTGTTTGATGACCAGCATTAAGGGAGGGAAGCAAATAGCTGCCAAAGACACAAAACATTCAGTTAGACGTTTGTTTCATGCGGCTGCTGAGGACAGAACTGCGTCTCCTCTGGGCTGGCATGGCGTTTGTGTCCAATAAAGTCAAACTACAACAATAGTTGGAAGTAGAACCGTGTACTAAAGGATTCTTAGAAAAACAGTATCGACGAGGGAGAAAAATACAAAACAGGATGAAACAAAGACAAAATGCATCTCGACACTAACCCACACCGATAACGAAGAAACTCTGAGGGACCAGTGTTGAGGTGATGTTTGTGGAAGCTGACAGCTTAAGCTGATTGACAACAGGCATAAATAAGGTGTTCAGAAGCGTATCTGATCAGATTTCAGATGTTTTAACTGGATTCATTCGGAGAAAACAGCTAAACCTCTTAAAATGCCATTTAGAGCCCTGCACTGGAGCCCTCGGCCCGGGGGTGAGCCCAGCCCGACGGCTCAAGGGCCGGGCTTCGGGCCGACAACTGTGTAATAACCTCGGACACGGGCCGGGCGCCATAATTTTTAATCGAATTCATTAAAAAAAACCACTTGAACGTAGCAGCACCTGCCTGCTTCTCACGCACCGGCACCCGTTAGCTCAGTTGAGGTCTGTGTGGTTTATAAATGCGCCGATATAAACGAAATCTCAAACTGCTGATTGAAACATGTGTCCCTATTCTAATACGCCATTTTATGTCCACTTTGATATGTCAGAAACCATTCGTTTATTCTCATGAAAACGGCAGCGTTCTGTTTTTCTGTGAATAAATTCGCTCTGCAGTAGGGATGTAAGAAAATATCGATATGGCAATATATCGTGTTTTTTTCCAGCAATATTATATCGATATTCAAAAGCCGTGTATCGGAAATATCGATATGGCAATATATCGTGATATTTGTTCCTGCGATTATTACATCGATATTCAAAAGCCATGTATCGAATTCTTGAAAGAATTTACATG